ACCCGCGGGGCGCGAGCGCCCCAGCCCCTCCGCGCGGAATAAGGGTAGTTGGCGCGGACGCCGTCGAAACCAGCCCTTCTAAGCACCGTTTCCACCGGAAAGGCCGGCTGGCGGGATCTGGCACTAGAGCTGAAACTGACAAACCAGGGGGATACACACACTTACCAAACACCACGAACACTGAGCAAAGGTCTCCCCCTAAAAGGCTGAGCGATTGCGAGGCGTCCGTATTTATACCTTTTGAAGCGAGCGGATATGTCTACTGCGCCTGCGCCCCGCCTTGCGCAGTCAGCGTATCGGCAATTCACTAGATTAAGCCCCACCCCCAGAGGATTCTCGCGATACGAGAGCCTTCACGCGCGACTTTGCTGGGGAACGTAAATTACGGAAGTTGCGTATGTAGGCGGGTACTTTTCCAATAGCAAAGTTACTGTTCTACCCTCGGTTCACGCCGTCTGGGGCCTGTGCTGTTAAACTCGTCAGAAATAGCTTTGGTGTCATAACTATGCAAAATAGAAAAAGACATCTAGAAAAACGCGAGAAGTCTAAAAAGTGGTTGAATCTGCCCTGTACACTGAAATAGACATTTGACAAATGCGTCGGTAAAGACGACGAGTGCTCCTACGCTAACAGGTTAAACTTCAAAGCCTCTTATGCACAACTACGGGAATATACTGTTGAACTGTACACTTACAAATGGTTAAAATGGTAACGTTTATGTTAAGTACATTTTAACACATACATCCCTAATCTAAAGACTTAGGCAAGTAAAGAATTCCTAAGATACATATTGCAGTAAAATGTTACAAATGTGATAGAATTTCTAATATGGTGTTAGGTGAATAAATGTTAAATGGACATAGAGCGATCACAGCTGGACTCTAACGAGTAGAAATATTTATGGTGTTCTTCTAGAAGATGTTCGTGCTGGGTGGATTACATACATTCTTTACTGTCACAGCAATTCTAAGACATTGGAATTATTACCCAAATTTTAAGATGCAAAACAGGACCAGAGCAGTGGTTCTCAAAGTGTAGTTGGTAGACCCTGGGGTCTCTGAGATTCTTTTGGGGGTCCTTGAGGTCAAAACTATTTCATAATAATTCTTTCTTCGCCTTTTTCACTGTGTTGACTCTGCACTGATGTAAAATGAAATAGTGGGTAAACTTGGCTGGTGCCTCAGTATGTTTCAAGGCCTTGTCATCAAACTGTACTGGTAGTAGTGTTTTTCATCATCAAAGATATACAGTATTTTATTTTATTTTTTAAATATATTTTTATTGATTTAAGAGAGGAAGGGAGAGGGAGAGATGGAAACATCAATGATGAGAGAGAATCATTGACTGGCTGCCTCCTGCATACCCCCTACTGGGGATTGAGCCCACAACCTGGGCATGTGCCCTTGACCGGAATTGAACCCGGGACCCTTCAGTCCACAGGCTGATGCTCTATCCACTGAGCCAAACTAGCCAGGGCTGGACTTCCCCCTTTAAAAAAAATATATATATATATCTTTATTGTTCAGATTATTACATTTGTTCCTCTTTTCCCCCCCTCCCAGTTCCCGCCCCACCCTCCGCCCTCACTCCCCACCCACTGTCCTCATCCATAGGTTGGACTTCCCCTTTTTGATAGTGGTTTTCCAAACCTCTCACTCTACTACAGTCCTCCCTCTCCTGGGATATAGAAATCTAAATCCATAAGAATTCTAAACTCATTTATTGTTTCAGCCAACACTGGGCAATGTGCACAGGCAACAATGCTTAACCTCAACAAGAGGGTAATGGCAATTGAGGCCTCTTTGGAGGACTAGAAGGAAAATCTGGGAGCAGGTGGAATCCAATGGCATGAGTTCTGGCTCATGGTTTCTTTAAATCCTGGGTAAAGGGTGGTGGACTAACCAAGGCCAGTCTCTGAAGTGACAAGTAGAAAGTGAGTCACTGGTGAGGCCACCATGAATGAAACTGGGCGGCTGGCCAGAGAGGAGTATATGAGGTATGACCTGTCTCACTGTGATGCCAGCCGTGGTCTAATATGAGGTCCGTACAGAGTAATCCTTATAGGGGTGATTGGGATGCAGTTGCTTGTCCTCGAATATATGCAGAGTGGTCACACGATGTGCTTTGACCTTGGGGAAGCAACTTCACCTCTTAGGTTCTTTGCTGGTAAAATGAGTCTATGTCTACTTACTTCGCAGACTAGGGGTGGGATAAATAGGATAAAGGACCGAGAGCAGTACCTGGTACATACTATGGGGTTCACAGTTGGCTTTCCTCTCTGCAGCCTATTCTTTTTCTGTATGTGTGCAGTCATTCACAAACATGACTGAGTATCTCTGGCTACACTTAATGTTCTTTTTTTCTTTAATATATCTTTACTGGTTTCAGAGAGGAAGGGAGAAGGATAGAGAGATAGACACATCAATGATGAAAAAGAATCACTGATCAGCTGCCTCCTGCACGTCCCCTACTGGGATCGAGCCCATAACCCAGGCATGTGCCCTTGGCCGGAATTGAACTTGGGACCCTTCAATCTGCAGGCTGACACTCTATTCACTGCACCAAACCGGCTAGGGCTACACTTAATGTTCTTACTATTTTCTTTCCCCCCTCATCTACTTCTCATTGAGGCTGTCAGTCAGTATTTTAGGTATCATTTTTAAGCAGGCTTAAATCTTTTGGAATAAGGTAGAATATAAAAGAAACACTTCATACCAGAATACTATAGTTTTTTTTTAATTCTAAAATACTTTAATAATTAATGTTGTTAGGAAGACTGATATACAATGCAATTACTTATTTTACAAGGAGATTCTGTACATCAGGGAAGCATTTTAAAGTACAATACATCAGACTTTTATTTCTTCTATACATTATGACTGTAAATTGTTACTTACAAGGAAACAAAATCCTTTATATTTATATGTATATATATAAAAATCACCTGAAAAGACTTGACCCCCAAAGTATCCTGTTTCAAAAGAACATGAATGAGATGAAAGATGAATTAGATTTCTTGGTGGCACATAGAAAGCAAACAAGAAGCTCAGGAAATCAAATCCTATTTCAAGCTTGGCACATTAAGGGAAAGAAAGGCAGTAAAGGGTTTGAAAATGTCATCTTAAGCCACAGAGAATTCTGACATAAGCCAAGTAATCTCCAAACCAACAAGACAGAAAAGTTAGAAGTCAAGTTAGCAGTTAATGTGTTCCCACCTTATATACAGACCTCTGACAATACTGTGGAGTTGTCTCTTATCTTTCCCCCATACCACAGGTTAATTAGTTTCAAGGAGATGTGAACCCAGTATATTTCCATAGCCATAAAGCATTTGACAGTCACTGAGAAATCCAATACCTCCTATTACCCATACAGAGAGAGAACACTACTTTTAAGGTCACTTTAGCGTTTTGTCTTAACATGATATTCTGACTTCACCAAATCTTACATGACATAAAGGAGAAAAAAGGAAAAATCTACTGAAAGATTACATACAGAACAATGGGGACTGCAGAAGAAATCTATAAAACAGCCACAATTTTCTGAACATTAAAAAGAGAAAGCTACATTCATTCGTTAACTAGAAACTATTTTTTTTCTTCCATTAAGTGTGGATAGGAATTAGAGGGAAACAGTGAGGCTGTAAGGTTTTCAATAAAAATTCAAAGAAAGCAACTGAATCTTGTTTTAGGGAATCATATTAATATATATTACAAAAGGGGGTGGGGGCTGAGCCAATGGCCAGGCACCGACTCCACTGGCTCCAGCTTGGAAGAGTAGGGATGAGTGAGGTGGAAGCTGCCAGAGGGGCAGCAGGAGGACAGACATCTGTGCTGAGGAGGAGAGGAGCAGTGGGTTATGACTGTGCCCCTCCTACTCGCTTCTCCGAAGACCTGATTTAGCACCCAACAACCCTAGGACTTTGCTATGATTCTGGCTGGAAGTGTGGGGGCCAATAGCACGCAACTCCCAGAGTTGCTACAACTCTGCTTTATGGAGGAGAATGTACCTATTGGGCAAAATGATTTACAGTATCATTTGGTGCAACAAACGTACAACAGCTTTTAACATTTAAGCCATGAGTCAGTTTTCTGCCAAGTTAGCATTAACATAAAGGCGTTTTTTGGTTTTGTATACAGAAAACACATGCTTTTGCCTTTTCCCAACTTGGAATCTGGTTGCAGGTGAGACAGAACATAAGTTTCCATCACTTCCAGATTAAAATAATAATAAAAAAGGAAGCACTTGACAGATCCTGAGCTGCTTTCAGGCTGTGCCTGCAGAGGACGGTATTGCTGTTACCAGAGGTAAGTGCAAGGCTGACATGCCAGTGTGGTAGGAAGCTTCCCCGAGAAGTGGGGGCCCCTTTGCTAGAAGGTGGGGCCCTCTCGGTTTTCCCCACCACCAACTAGATTCAATGGCGGGAATTTAGCGCCTACACGAGTGGGTCTCACAGCTGGACAGAGCAGGTAAGGCTAATGGTGCGAACTGTGCCTCGGCACAGGCAGTCACATTGGTGTGGTGCAGCCAACAAAACGCAGAACCTGCAAGTGGCCCAGAACGTTCGTGGCTGGGGAGGGAATACCCCTGAAGTACGCTGCAACAGTAAAAGGTTCCAAGCACTGACAGAGTTCAGTTTTGTTCAAGGCAGCACATGCGAATCCATTCCAGTGAAACGCTACATTCATAGAAGAGCTGTTCACCCCAGAAGACTCAATTCTGGCTGTGCTGGTAAGCGCTGAAGTTCCCGCCGTGTCATTCTGGAGACTGAAGCAGCAAAGTAGCCCTGTTTTGGGGGGTTGTTCAGTTCCTCTCATACTTCAGCATCATGGACGATGGTAGCTAAAACAGGTGATCAAAAAAAGCTGAGTTACCAGATATTATAGATTGCTTTGCTTTTTTAAAAAATATTTTTTATTGATTTCAGAGAGGAAGGGAGAGGGAGAGAGAGATAGAAACATCAATGATGAGAATCATCAATTGGCTGCCCCCTACTGGGGATCGAGCCCGCAACCCAGGCATGTGCCCTTGACTGGAATCGAAGCCGCACCCCTTCAGTCCCCAGGCCGGCGCTCTATCCACTGAACCAAACCAGTTAGGGCAGTGTGCTATCTTTAGATCTTGTTTTCCTTGCACTCTAGGCTGAATATTCAACTGTCTCCTAGGCATCTCCTCTTTAATGTGGCACAGACTCTCAAGCGCAACACAGATAATTTATTTTCCAGTTTGTTTATTGCCTGCCTTTCTCTATTAGAAGCTTGTTAAGAGCAAGGACTTGATCTTGTTTCCTGCTATGTTCCGAGTGCCTAGCACTGTATCTATCATGTAGTAGCTGCTCAATAAATATTTAACTGAAGAAATGTCCTAAACTGTTCAACTGCACGTCTTACTGATATCGGAGACCTCAGTAATCACAAGTTAGACATCTGAGTCATTCTGACTACTTCCTTTGATTCATACCTGGAATCAACAGATTGCCAATTGTCGTTCAGATCTCTCTCCCTTGCATTCTCACCATCACTTCCCTGCTTTGAGCACAGGGATGCTCACTATGGCTATTCCAGTTACTTCCTAACTGCTTTCCTGCTGCTCGTCTCTCCATCCTTCCATTTCACCTTCCACAGTGCCACCAGAGCCTGCTCTGAAATACACAGAACGCCAGTGTTTCCGATATCCCAGCATAACAGTCAGAGTTCTTCAAAGTGTGGCTGCACCTCATCTTGTGGGTCTCAACTTCATCACACTGTCCCCATGCATCCTCTGCTCCAACTACACTTCCTGTTACCCAGAAACATCTTGTACTTTCCTACCTCCCATAGCCTTGCTAAAGCTGCTCCTTTTGCTTACAATGTTCCTTTCTTTCTTCTTGTCCAAATCAATCATTTTACACACTCCAAGATCCAGCCTAAATGTCGCCTTCTCTATGCCTCTTTCTTTTATTGTTGTACACTATAGTACTCTCTCTCTCTTTTTAAATATATTCTACTGATTTTTTACAGAGAGGAAGGGAGAGAGATAGAGAGCCAGAAACATCGATGAGAGAGAAACATCTATCAGCTGCCTCCTGCACATCTCCCACCAGGGATGTGCCCGCAACCCAGGTACATGCCCTTGACCGGAATCGAACCCAGGACCCTTCAGTCCGCAAGCCGATGCTCCATCCACTGAGCCAAACCGGTTTCGGCTATAGTACTTTCTTTAAAAAAACACCTTATTATTGATTTCAAAGAGGAAGGGAGAGGGAGAGAGACAGACAGAAACATCAATGATGAGAGAGAATCACTGATTGGCTGCCTCCTGCAAGCCCCCTACTGGGGATTGAGCCCGAAAACCGGGCATGTGCCCTGACAAGGAATTGAACCATGACCTCCTGGTTATGGGTTGACACTCAACCACTGAATCACACCATCTGGGTGGGTATCCTTCTTTTAAACGATGTCATTAGAGTCTTTCCTATCTGAACAACTCTGGTGGTATGTTTGCTTTTTAAGAAATGTTTAGCTCACAGTATTTGGGTCTTTTGGCTCTTACCGTGTAAAATGCTTGCTCTCTTCATGAACCTCCATCTCTGAGCTTTTAAATTCATTTAATTCTTTTCTGATGGCAGCCTGTGGAGAAAAAGTGAAAATGTTTCAGCATTTTCTGTCTGCTATAGTATAGCAGTGGGATTTGCCATCTAGTCTCTATTGTACTTAACTTTGTGAGTCATTGTAACCCTCAGCAGGCAACCCAGAGGGAAGAAAGAAGCCAGGGCAACACATAGGGTGAAACACTGAGCCAATAGCCACTGCCTTCCCTGACACCAATCATCTCATAATAAACTTATAATCTCAGTGAAATCAAAACACTTGGGGAGTTTAAAAGAGATACTATAACTTTTATAGTTTCCACGCATGTAAAAATGCTTTTCCTGTTTAAAAAGTGAAATATGGTAATTACTAAAATATGCTACCCAGACTCTCTCCAACTAACATAATCACCATTAAAAATATGTCTTATTTCCTTCCAGATTTCTGTACTGGGAGGTAACAGGGACTTTCTTCCAGTTTTGGTGGTGGTGGTGGTATCATTAATATAAAGTTTTGTATTTTGTAGCTTTGATTACAAACTTAACATTATTATTAAAAATAGAAATTTTATTTAAGTTTTCCTTTCCAGTTAGTGTTTTGCATAAAGAGAGAGAGAGAGAGAGACAGACCTTGTCAGCAGGGGTCAGTTTGGTCCAAGGTTTGTCTGCTCGCCGGTCATAATCTTGCGCATCTGTTACCTCCACATATTCATTAAACCTCAGAATCTTCCTGGCAAGGAGTTCGGCCACAGTCGGCCTTTGACTTAGCTGAAAGAAATGGAGCCTCTTAGTTGACTCTGCCAAGTCAGGCATCAATCATACATTCAAATTGCCTCTAATCCAGTGGTTCACCCTTCGCTGTACACTGGAGTCACATAGGGACCTTCAAACACTACTGATGCTTGGGTCCATCCCTAGAGATTCTGGGTATTGATACTGTTGTTTTTTTAAATCCTCACCTGAGGATGTTTCTCACTGATTTTTAGAGAGAGTAGAAGGGAAGGTGTGAACCATCGATTGAGAGACATTGATGTGAGAGAGACACATTGATTGGTTGCCTCCCAAATGAGCCCTGACCAGGGCAGGGATCGACCTGCAACGTAGGTATATGGCCTTGACTGGAACTGAACCTGGGATCCTTCAGTCCATGGGCCAATGCTCTACACACTGAGCTAAAGAGGATAGGATGAGAGGTTTTTAAAAATATATATATTTTTATTGATTCAGAGAGGAAGGGAGAGGGAGAGATAGATAATCACTGATCGGCTGCCTCCTGGGGATGAGCGGGTAACCCGGGCGTGCCCTGACTGGGAATGGAACTGTGACCTTCTGGTTCATAAGTCAATGCTCAACCACTGAGCCACGCTGGCCGGGGGAGAGGTGTTTTTTTTTAAAGCTCCTGAATGCACAGCTAAGCTTGAAAACCACTGCTATAAACAAGTGTAAAGTATTACCAGTGCTTCTCAAACTTTAACATGCATACAAAACACTTGGGGGTCTGGTTAAAATGTGGATTCTGAATAAGCAGGTCTGATAGGGCCTTAGATTCTGCATCTCTTACAAGGTCCTGCGTAATGCTAATGCTGTTGGTCCATGGGCCGTGTTTTGAGAAGCAAAAGGATTAGAGCTATAAACTCACATATATTAGAAAGTGAATATATTTAATATGAAAACAATATCTAGTGGGTAATATTAAGGGTGAATTTCTTTTCAACATGAACGATGTCCAGGACAGCGGATTCTGCAACACATTATGACTTAAGATTGCACCATCAGGGGACCTGCACAATCTGAGGGCAGCGAGTCAGTCCAGCTGTGGCCTCTAGCTACCCTTATTCTATCAAAGATACTTCCTCTATTCTGGGGGAGGGAAGAAATGAGGAAGAAAATGTCTAGATCCCCTCATTCTCTTGTGGGTTATTATGTTTAAGAAATATCTAGAGCACTCAGACCAAATCAGAATCTACAGGAGGTAATTACAAACCATTATGGTGAGAAGAAAAGGAAAACAGGTATTAATCCTAGAGCAGTGGTTCTCAACCTCTGGCACTTTAAATACAGTTCCTCATGTTGTGACCCAACCATACAATTATTTTCGTTGCTACTTCTTAACTGTAATGTTGCTACTGTTATGAATCATCATGTAAATATCTGATATGCAGGATGGTCTTAGGCGACCCCTGTGAAAGGGTCATTCGACCGCCAAAGGGGTCGCGACCCACAGGTTGAGAACCACTGTCCTAGAGCTTTAGAGCTAATAACACACGTCTGGTACAGAAAAGATTCTACCCTAACTGATCTGGGACCAAGGAAAAAAATCCTAGTTAGTTTTTCATGCTTTTCAGATATCAATAAGGGTCAGTTTATTCTTTCCCATATTAGAAAATAGCCAGTTTGCCTTGCAGAATTGAATGTTACACAATCCTGTTACCATCTCTATACTTAAACAGGTTTTAGAATCTACATCAAAATCCCAGGTATACCAAATTAAAGGTAAAATTTTATGCATGTACTGAGCACCTTCTTATGCCAGGCTTTCTTTAAATAGTAAAAATGAAGGAAAAAAAAAAAGCTCTTGATAATGCTGTGTTGTTTTCTATATTTGCATTACGTATTCTATTTTCATAGCAACCTATGGCAATTCAAGTCAAGTGATTTCTTTCCAATCAATAAGGTTATTCAAATATAAGACATGCACTCAGGAGACAGACAGAAACCGAACACTGGGCAATGTACCTTTCTAGTGAGCCGACGTTTAATCTCCCGTTTTTCTGCCTGACGATCAGCTTCGTTTTTAGCTACAGTTGATAGTCAGAAACAAAAAAGATTACTTCACAATGGCAACCTGCATATCAAGCTTTTCACTAATTATAGTGCAGGTATTTCTTACAGACTCCAAGTCAGAATAAAACATGAATTTTGGGGAGGCTAACCAAGACAATTTTCTTGTCGACTGGTAGTCTAATACTCAAGAGCAAGGGTAGCAAACTATGGAACCACGTCCGGATAGTAGCCTATACTTTTACTGCCCGTGAGCTGAGGTTGATTTTTACATGTTTTTAAAAATATCCCCCACCCCCACTGTGCTTTCTTTTATTTTAAGGTTAACTTCTACCTCCGTGTTAAATATGTTTTTACTCGTTTTTAGA